GTTACGAGTCATGCTCATCCGGTTCGCCTTACCACTCAAGCTAGAGCCCTCGTAGTGAGTAGTGGAGCGTTGGATTTGACATCACTCGATGACCAAAAAACGCGGTTTTGAATCTCAGGTCCTGAAAAAATGGAGTTGTGTAGGACTGGCTGACGATGTCTCATAAGCCAGAAATGGTCACCCTAGTCTCCCTCGTCCTTGCCGTTGTCCTCTTCTTCAGTGTACCTCTCCTCATGGTCAAATAAAATGAACTATTATAATTGTTAAAGTTCTTAAAAAACTGCCTGTTATTCTATAGGGTTTTAGGTTTTACCATCCATCTGGTAAGCATGTTCTTCGGAAGTGTTTTCATCGGTGCTTCCATCTTTCCGTCAGGGAATTCCCAGCAGCTTGGAAAAGCTTCGTACAGATGCGGACAGAATAAGATGACGTGCTCGTAAAAAAACTAACAAATATCGTGGATAGCAGACTGCAAACACATTAAAGTCTGAATCAACGCACATCCAATCAGGTTTCAAAAGCATAAAGCATTCAATATTTTAAACGCCAATTTTTCACCTAAGCTACAATAAAGCGCTTATACGGAAGTAGCCAAGCAACAAGAAATGCTAAAAATAGAGAAGACCGGAATGCTCTTTGTCAGCTCCGATGTCGATATGAGCCAGCCATACAGCAACCTCAGCCCGCTAAGATCCGAAGCATGAACATAAGTTCAACTGGCTACTGAGCCAGACACCCTTCCAGATGAGTCAAGGGTTCTGTCAGATGAGTTTGAGAGCAGTCGAAGCAATGTGTGAGTATCCTTTGGTCACTTGGCCCAATTTCTGCGACTGGAACATTTTCAGACCGAAAGATATCCTATTTTTGAGTATAAAGTTAGAAGAAGACTTAACTATGTACCAAATCCGCATAAGAAAGGATATTTTTGGGCTTTTTCTCTGTAAGAAATATTTCCATTTTTAAAGGTGTCGAAAATCAGTGAAAAGGTCCTACTACATAATCAATTATTTTTTCGAGTGTAGTTTTTAGGCGGTTGGACAGACGTACATTCAAAAGTCGTTGTTAAAGTATGAGTAAAATGTCTTCGGTTTATGCCGTATGTTAATTAGTATTACAACCCTACCTAAATAATCCTCTTTTTAATCGAAAACAGAATTTCCGTTGACAGTTCATGAGGTATGCCACCTACCGATTTTTAAAAGTGGAGCATTTTCACGCAAACCAAGGCATTAGTCGTGGTCTTGCCTTTTAAACTTCTATCCTTTGGTAGAAACGCTTCAGGTTGTTCACCACAACTTACCAACATACTAAGGAAGCGCAAATAAAACCACCACTCCCTGAAAATGGTTGAGGGATGACAGAGTATATTAAAGTACTTCTTCACACTAAGTATTACTGCAAGAAACTTATTGTATTTCGACAAAATCTGCCTGCTAAGGGAACAGCATATTAAAGAGCTAATCTGGTTGGATTGATCTGTTGTATAGGACTTCTATCTTTATTTGTCAAAGTTATAGGCTTCCGACTGCTGCATCAACCTCCAAGAAATGGATGAAGTTTGATTCCCAGTACTAGACCACATCGATTATCCTTTTACGGCATTCCAGACACCCTCACCTACATCAGTGTCTTCACCATTAATTAGCAGGGTGTGAGGCGGGAGAGAGAGGAAGAGCTAGTGAGATACGCCTTCAAAGGTTCTGTTCTCCTTCATATGACTCTCTTCGCTTTCTTAGTCCTCTTTTACTTTCGTACGTCAACTTGCCGCATTACTTTTTTTTAACATTCCTAACTCCTCCTGTTGCAGTTAGCGTGCAGATCTGACAGCAGAGGCACAACTTCCTCCAGAAGAGGATGATGGTGAAGGAAAACGCCAGATGACGAGCAGTTGTCAAACCGAGCGAAAGTGCGTATGTGCGCATAGTTTGTTCCCTGGGCGAGTAGGAGGCCAACGGCGGTTAAGAGAAGCACAGACTAGATGCGCTTCGGCAGTAATGATCGGATTGGGGGGGGGGGTGGTGCGGAGGATATCAGACGCCGCGTGTATCCCCTCGTGACTTAGCTCGGGAGTTTCTCTTTAAGCTGCCGACAGTAGCAGAAAGAAAAGTGCTCGTAGGACAGAGAACCAGATGTGTTTATTCCCAGGGGCAACAATTTGATACCGAAGTCAAAGTTATTTTTATTCAGTCGTGAAGCATCACCGACCGAGACAACAGAGGCTGGAATTGCCTTTTCAGACCGATCGCTTGTCCTCAGCCGGACACAGGCCAGTGCCAGACCGTCAGAACCTCAGATGCGAACAGGGATCAGTAAAAGGGAATTAGCATGCTATATAGCCATGTGGTCGGGGCGACCTTAGTGGTTTTCATTAAGATTAGGTTTACTCGGCTTATTTGAAGATAGCACAGTAATACAAAATTTCTGATAAGAAGTAAAACATCACTCGAAGCAGCAGGAACCTGTTCTTGATGTCCTAGTTTTCTGCATTCTTGCCCGAGAGGAAGAAGCAGGTGATTCTGAAAGACATTCGTTCAAACGCTGGGGGGAGCAAAGGAAGGGCGTATAGGCGATGGGATTAGGGAAATACCCAAGGGAGGCGAGTTGCTTGCAGTTAACTTGGTTCATGAGGCGGAACACTGGCCTGGCTGCAGTCGGCAAAACATCAAACTGCTCAGGCATTTGGGCCTAAAAGGAGGGGAAAACAGTGTTTTTGCAAGTGTGTCTTTTGCGGTAGGAGTCCTTCCGGTTGTTAGTCAGGATTAGACCAAGAGTAATTTCTTTTTTTGGTGGGAAAATAAGGTAGGTAGGACTCATATTTTAAGAGAATTTTCGTTTTTAATTTGCGGGAGGCACAATCGGGTGCTAAATTCCAGGGGCAGTACCTATTCCGGCATTTTGTCTTTACTGACACTAGCTCTCCTAACCTTAACTCTAAAACTAATCCGAACCTTCCGGAATTTAATGAAAGATCACCTGTAATATTGGTGGAGTACTTATTGCCGTGCCATGCCCTAAAATCTCAAATTTTCAGTAAAAATACCTCTTAATCAGCCCACACCCCACAGATGAAATAATAAGCTCTCCATTGACGCTGGTGGGCGCCCCGTTAACTTGTTATCCGGCCAATTATACACCGTAAGCTAGTAGTGACCGCTTCAGCACTGCCCAACTTTTGCAGCCATCGGTGAGAAGTGCATATATATATATATATATATATATATATCCATCTACCTGCAGTCAATGACCAATCTCATGAAACGTTAACCGAAATACCGAAATGCGTATTCGTTCAGGGTGGATTACATAAGTGGGGTTATAATACTGATTATTGTTCGGCATAATGCCGCAATATTTCAGACACGCCAGACTGTTGGCATTTAAATGCACTTCTTTTCTGCGCCTGGAATAATCACGCAGTAAAAATGACTACTTAAATGGCGTGTATTTTACAAATGGATTCTGATGCCCTTATAGATTCGGACATATTTTGTAGGAACCATGCAAAACATCCTTTATTGCACTCATTTGCTAAAAAATCGTCTTTTTAAGATTTTTCATTTGAAGAAAGAGTATATTTCGACTTTGGAAAAGTTTCTTACTGTGAGATTTTTAAGGCCGTGTAATTTCCATTCAAATGACATCTTATCTGTACGTTTAATAGTGTTGCCCATGAGGTATAGAACATAGTCCCGGCCTTTAAAGGGTGATGGCCCAAGTTAACTGCAGGGCTGCGTGTCAGCCTTCTGGGCCCCAAGGATTGTGTGCGTCTGCTTTGCGTGGTCAGCAAACCATGGTCCTCACAGCCGGTCGTGTGCTGGCAGTTCTCTAGCGCCTGGTTCGCTTGCGTTCCCACTGGATATATAGGTCGCGCGCATGGTCGCCCGAACATCCTCTTCTTTTTGACCCGTAACTCTGTTGTTGCTGGTTAAAGTCCTGGTAAAGTACTTGTTGTGGCCCGGGGGTGAGCTGGTACACCAAGGTGCGGTCCGGCAGTGCCAGCCATCTGCGCCCTCTCCCGCCTTCGGTTTTCTTGACCGCCTTTTGACATTGGGCCTAGGTGGGAAGGAGGAGAGGGTGCGGTGGATACTGGCAAGTCCACTCTCACTATAACCTAGTCCACGCACAAGTCAGCGTGCCTGCTTCAGCTTGCTGCGGAGCACATGGTGGACATCGTCGGACATGATGAACGGACTGTCATAGAACATAGTCCGCATTCGTTGCAGACTTTTATGAGCCCTAGGTGATTTCTATATAACGACATAAAGGAATGCATGTTTCTTCTTGAACGGGAAGTATACAGCTAATAGACGGGAAAGGCTAAACAAAAATGCAACGGCAGATCGAGCCCAAAACTATTGTGGAATTTAAAAACGGAAAACTCTTTCTAAAGCCGAAAGGTACCCTTTCTGCAAGTAAAAAATTTTAAAAAGACGACTTGCCACCAAATGAGTGCAAGAAGGAATTTTGTATACATGGTTTCTGCAAAATATATCTGAATTTACAGGGACATCGGAATTCGGTTGGAAAAATACGTACTAACTAAGTAATCATTTATCCCATGTGGTTATTTCAGGCGGCCGAAAAGAAGTGCATTTAAATGCCAACATCCTGGCGTGTCTGAAGTATTACAGCATTAGGCCGTAAAATAATCAGCATTATAAACCCAATCACGTAATCCACCGCAATAAATACGCATTTCAGCATTTTTTAACATTTGACAAGATTCCTCACTGAAAGCGGCCTATCGTAACATATATTTCGCACTTTTCAATCGCTATCTTCTACTATATCCATACCTGCATGTCTTATATAATGTTAAACAACTTTGTTCAGCATCTACATAACCGTGAAACCATCACAAGTAGCCTGTTCATCCGTGTGTGTTGCTCCCGACGCCTTCGGCCGCTATATCTTAAGTTTTGAATGTTCTATCGATCAGCGCACGCGACACAGAAGTCCATGTGAATGTCTCTGCCCCCTCGGCTTCCGGACCACTTGGCATGTCAACAACTAATGAAAGACAGCAGTCTGTTGAAAATGATGAGCTTTTATTGGAAAGGCCGAATCCAGATTTGTCTCCCGAAGTATTTTATGCAGATCAAGCTGACGATGGTGGAAATGAGGAAGCAGGAGACGACGACAATTACGAATGGGGAGGAGGGGAAAGAGGGGGAGGCGAAGAAGAAGAAGAAGGAGGGGGTGATGGTGAGGGGGAGCCTGGAGAAGATGAGGAGGATGATGATGATGATGAAACGGAAATCGACTATGATATACCATTTGCCAGATTTTTGTGCTGTTATTTTTTCCCACGGAGACCCCCGAAAAATACCAGCGATAAGGAGGTGGTGATGACGGAGAACCGTCGTCCAGAACAGGAGGCCAAGGCCGCAAGAATGGCTAAATTACTCTACTTCAAGGACGATATCGAAGCGGAAAGTCGCAGAGCCAAGATTCAGATGGATTTGGTGGATTTACAAAGGCCATCAGTACCACTGAGTTTTAGGCTCTACGACTTCGCAAAGCCGGCCTCTGAGGAGTTCACTTTCAATTGCTTGCGACAAGAGGCACGGCTTGCACTTTGCTCCACTCTTGAAGGTTTTCAGGAGTAACCTGCTTGTACCCTGGACAATAATCCGCAATGTTCTAGGTTTCCCAGCGTAGTTTCAGACAGGCTTGAGAGGATTTTTAGAGAGAAAAACGACTGGTTAAGGGGAGAAGCCTCTGTGTAGCTCTCCCTTTGCCACTAACAAAAGTGTTAGTTGCAGCTCTTCTGTCAGTCAGGACAGAAGCATAAAGGGGCAGAAGGGACGAAAAAGTGCAGAGAGGCGAGAATTCTTTGTTTTTTCTCACTTCACTTTGAAGAACACTGAAAAGTAGCGTATTGTGGGAGAAATTCGGTCAAAAGCCCTCGAGGGTTAGGAAAATTAACCATCCATGAAAGGTCAAAAATGATTTGTTTAGGAAAAGTAATGTTGCATCCCGAGATACGAATCAGGCCCAGGGATAGGTGTAACGATCGTCAGTGTTTTTGCCCCGTTCGGATGGTGTCCAGTGAGTCCTGGGTGGCTTGCAGTGCGCCAGTACCTGCGGCCTGGAAGGTTTCTAATTAATAACTTGGTCCTCTGAAAAGAGGGTTAGGCTGAAAAAGTTCTTTCTTGATGAGACTTGTATGTCACACTCGCTCATATGAGAATTGAGGTTCCCGTTCTGTGGAGTCTGATTCGTGCTGATTGCGGGTCAGTACCTCTGTGGCGTGCCACGACGGCTCATTCAAAATCATCAGTCAGGGTGCCCACTTCCATCACTAGTCATCTTCACTTTTTCTTGCCGCTAGAATGGGCGAATAGTGGGAAGGAGAGAGAGAGAGAGAGAGAGAGAGAAGTAGACGGTGAGAAGGTTCGCTCTACTACAAACATATTCAAGCACAAATCACCGCTACCTTCTCTTCTGCCCAGCTGTGGTCGTCATCGCTTTTGACGGACGAGATATCATGTAATTTAAAACAGGCATGAAGTTTTTCAGGACCGCGTCTCTATAAGTGAACTGACAAGCTATTTTAGTTGTAGTAAAAATGAAGGCCGTTCAACTTCCATGAGTTTTAAAAGGGCCACGCAGCGGAGATGTTATATACCCAGCCAGTGGGGCCTTTAGTTCGTTTTTTTCCCAATATATTTTTTGCTTTCACGGTTGGCGGTTGGCAATATATTCGTCAATTTCTGGCCTCAAAACATAACATCTTCTGCGGTAGGGGTGGCGAACTCCAAAAACGTGAAATATTGTGGCGGGCTGCTTCCTTCTCCCCCCTTGCCTGTAGCTCGCATCGAGGGCTGAGCATATCAGACGAAGACGAGCTGGCTTTTTGAACACTAAGAAGAACTTGGAGTGGTTCTTGAGCCGAGACTTTTGTAGATCGGCCTCGATTTTCAGCGAAGACTACTTTCCTCACCAAACTAACCGTGCACTGTTCATAGTTGTTCAGCTCAGTCAGTAGTACAATTTTGGGCTGAAAAACGCTTATGGTCCCGACACAGGCCCTAGTTGAAAGCTTAGGCACGCGTCTTGTTGACATGACGCCACCACCGCCACCTGAAGTGTTAGGATCATTGATGGATCACCCGGCCGCTTGGAGGCTATACTACCGACTGTTGGGTTTGGTATTCAGAAAACATGCGCAACTATTCCATTGGGGTTCATAGATTCCGATTCCGATAACGCAAAACCAGGACCTGAATCTGGAAAATTTTGTCCTACATATCGCGTTATTTTTCCGGGAATTTAAGTCAAAATTGTAGTCACTTATTATCTACATTACTACGAAAACACTCCTTATGAAACAATGGGTGACTAATTGATTGAGTGCAGTCTATGAACACAATACCTAGTGAGGAAAGATTGTGCAAAATATTTGCCCACCTCACTCATACATGTGCGACATTGTTGTGCTAAAAAAATCCCAATCTGGCAAACTTTTAATAAATTTGTTGACTTTTCAAAGAACAGTCATCTTTCTCAGGTGCATTCAATGTTCTCCCCTCACGGTCTTCCGTTTCGGGCTGAGATCAGTTTAAGTAGCAAAGGTGCAAGAAAAAGACGCTCCTTGACACCAGCAGAGCATGATTGTCGGAACAGATGCACCGCGCAACGATTTCCCTTCGAAAACCAGACTGATTCATCGTCAAGTGGACGACCAGGTTTCACATCCAGTTACACATAAATTATCGGTGCATATTCGTGTGCGCTGCGCAAAGTAAAAGGAGCGTCAGACTGGCAATTCTTGGTCCCTGCAAGCAGCGTCGCTGAGAGGATTTTTTCAGGGATTCAGAGGATTCAGCCTGCGTATGAAATGCTTGGCAAAACAGGCTAGTGGTGGTGGGTTACATTTCAAAACCTGGATGGCAAGAATTTAAACCAGCTGTTCGCGAACGGTGCGGTGCACCACACTAAAATGACGCGATCGGATGTCACGTGTTCTGAGATGGTCCGGTAATCAAGAATTCTGATAATTATTCAGTAATTTGATTCAGTAAAATGCTAACCGAAATTGTGAAACGTTTTCTCGATTAGAAACAACTACTTAGATGGGATTGTAATACTGGTCATCATTGAGCATAATTATAAGATATTTCAGTCAGATCAAGATACCGGCTTTCGAAAGTGCATATTTCCGGTCGCTCGCAAGTGACCATTTTATTAGCATGGTCTCTCCCCCTGATTTTTGATACTGCTATGAATTCAGATATATTTTAAGGAAAACGGGCATGAAAATGTCCTTGTACTCATGTGGTAGCCAATCACGTCCTCTTCACGCTTTGTTTTTGAAGAAGGGGTATCTTCCGGTCTTAAAGGTTTAAAATTATGAGATTTTTAAAGCCGTGAAACGTCCATTCATACAGTATGCAATCTGTACGTTTATTTCTGCTGGTTATTAAGTATACAGCATGGTCCACACCAGTTGCAAAATTTCACGAGCCCTATATGGCATCTCCCTAATAGTGTAGGGAAATGAGCGATTTGCTTAGCACTGAAAGTATGCAGCATGCTATTTTGAAACCCTAAGTGCTGGTCGGTTTCAAAATTATTCCGAAATTGAAAAGAATATTTGAAAAGCGAAAACTAACCCTTTTCGAGTACAAAAGTTGAATATGAACCTTGTTACCGAGTGAATACGAGAACGGCTATTTTTATGCATATTTTCTATAAGATATTTTCTAATTCATCAGGGCTTCGAAAATTAATGTGAAAAATTTATCCTACAGAAGTAGTCATTCCTTACCGAGTGTATTTTTATTGATGGCCGGATGGGAGCTCATTCAAAGGTCGGTACCCTGGCCTGACTGAAGTATCTTGCCATTACGCTGAATACTGATCAATGCTATGACCCCACTTAGGCAATCCTTTCAAGTCCAAAAAACAATTCAGAATTTCAGTCACATTTCATGAGATTGCCCAGTTACCGCACATTATTACACATGGAAGCTGTATGTAACTTTTATTGCGTCAACTGCCTCCGAGAAATATGTGCGAGAATCCATTTAACTGCACTCACTGTGTCCTCTGATATGCCTGCATGAAGTAGGTTCAGCGACCTGCACAGATTTAGTCCGATGGTCCTACGGAGCCTGCAATAGTTGCCTGCTTTTCTGTGGTTAAAGATAACTTGCCAACAATTTCGAAAAGCATATAAGTCGTGAGGACTGGGCGGGCGTGAAACAACGGGGATTCGAGTCATTGCCTGTCATACGATTGTTGTGACCTTAACTATCGACTGCATATTCGCCCAGATGCTTCACATTAAAACTTCTACAAGAGAAGATGGCGGTAACAGGCAAAATTTCCCTGTTATACCCAAATACGAAACCAGCATTGTAACGTTACTTGGTGTGTCGGTTGGCAAATAAAACGGGTTTGCCAGTCTATAACTATAGGCGTGATGACTGCCACACAAAAAACAAGGGAAGAGAGGCTTTTTGAAGAACGAGGAGGACAGGAATCAGACCTTAAAACTGCTAACCGTCTCAAATATAGCTAAGTAAGTCGCCCGCTCAATCGACCCAAAATCTTCTGTCCCAGCGCTGACCAATTAACTGGAATCCACTGCAGCCTTTATTTCTGATTCTTTCGACGCCCTTTATAAAGTACTGTCAAATGAGAGCGTCTAATATGGCTACCACGATCCGCTTAAATATCCGTCTCGAGAATATATCACGCTGCCTTCGGAGTGTTCGCAGGAGCAATTGACTTCTTTTAAGTCTCTGCCTCTGAAGTTTCTTCTTGCCAAATGTCAGCATAGGCTTAGGTGTTTTTGTTGGCCCTTCAGGATGTTTGATGATGAAACAAAAAGCTGAAAAAATCATGAGCGATTTTATTGACATTAATTTGCCCAATCGCGGGCAAAATCGTGTTGATTTACACGAATACTTTAGAACTGAGCCCTTTTCTACATCAGACGACTGTCGTGCTTCATGCTGGGATCCATCTTGTACCACAGATCGCACTTTCTGTTCAGGCAGTTTGCGCAGGCCATCACATCCTTTCGGTTATCCTCGCAACGTTGGATGCGCGGTAGCACAGTAGCTGCAAAGAAAATAGAAGAGTTATGAAAGCCAAATCATCTACAGAGTGACATTTCTGACGGTGACCGTCGCAAACTGCCTTGTGACATCACTTAAACTGAGAAAATGGCTTGAAAACCGCAGTTCTCACACGTCGGTCCAAAGAACTCGTTTTCTGAAAGAAACTTACCTGCTGATAACGAATGTATTTCCTTCGCTAATAGCCACATTCTCATCACTCTGGACGTCATAAAGCAGGGCACTTCATGTACGGTCTCAAAACGTGTCCTCTTGCTTTGCCTCAACTCGGACTTTACTCACGGCGGATTTTAACGTGGAAGATAATATTCCTTCATCTTCCGCTACCGTCCTTTACCATTTGTGAATTAATATGTAAGTGGCTGACGATCCCTAAACCATTGATTTAAACGAACTCCGCTGCTTTTGTTTGTGTACATGCGGTGAGGCAACAAGGGCCAGGTTTGGTCCTGCAGTCCCACTTGAGTGATACCATATGGTTAGCTCCCCAAAACGAATTTAGTTGGTACGATTACGCTAACTTTACATATATCAAGTGTTTGCGGCTTCTTACTACTTTAACCAGCAAGTGACTATGCTAGGGGGAACTGCTCATACGCGGCTTCGGTTACATCAAGTATCAGTTTACAAGTGCCTCTCAGCACGTGCTGTGAGCCCTGTTTGCGTCCCCTTCGTTATCTCAGTCCGGCGGGTGGGTAAGTAGGCTTGTTGATGGCATCGTTCGGACGGAATGGAACTCCGCGGTTCCATTATAGTGGCGGTGCATTGCAATTTGACACGCGGTTCCATCTGTGGTCATCCAGTTGTGACCACGCTCACCTTATCCTTTTAATCCCGCGAGTGGCTGTGTCGCGGGGGCAAGTGTGTACACGTTCTGCCCCCCCCCCCTAAACGGGCCACTCGGTAGATGCGCTGGACCAACACGGGGACCACATCGGCTTCTGGCAGACGTTATCGGATTGCGCACCATAACAAATGCCAACATTTCCATCGGCTTCTGGCAGACGTTATCGGATTGCGCACCATAACAAATGCCAACATTTCGGGGAGGGGCATTGGCAGACCCGGTTGCCGGCAGACGTCGCGCGCACTGGGACCCCTGTGGCCCCCCATTGTTGTTAGTGGTTAAAAAAAACCTGGTTACTTGTTGTGTGGACCAGAGAGTTTGGAGTGGAGCGCCAAGGTGAGGGCTCGAGCGTGCCATACACCTGCGCTCCCCCCACCTCCGGTCTTCTTGACTCTGTCCTGACACTGGGTCCAGGTGAGAGGGGAGGACAGAGTGAGGTGGATGCTGCGAAAGTCTGTTATTGCTATAAACTACTTCACACGCAAGTCACCGTGCCTGCTGCACCTTGCTGTGTAGCACGCGGCGGACATCGTTGAATCGACGGTTGCAACAAGCATCGGTTCACACGAGCTTCCCTGCGCGTGTTTCGGTCTCTGCTTGCGCTCCCTTCCTCTTCCTAATCCAGCGAATGGCTAAGTCAGGTATGTTAACTAAAATTATTTTAGTTTCCTAGCCCTGTAGTAGCGATCAAGTAGGACAGCAGGACCAAACCTCACCGTAACAAGTTTTACGAAGACTGAAATTATCATTCCTAACTTCATCGTCTGCGAGTCATAATCCAACCCCAAGTAGGAAGGACGAGGAGTTCGAGCTCAGCCTCTTACGTCCATGAAGACAAACACGCCAGAAATTAGTTTTTCAACCTTCACAACTTTCGTCGACAATCCTTCTGTTTGCGTTCCTTGCCGTCCGTGAGGGCTTTCGATAGGCAAAAACACGACAGCACGTTTTTTGTGCAATCAGATAGACTGTGTACCACGTTAATACGGCCTAGACTCTGCTGAAAGCGGTGGGAATTTCGAAAAATGCCGACCTACAGTACGAACTACCGAGCAGCAAGTTTGTTGAAAATCTTAAACGTCGAGGATACGGATCATGCGTCATTTTTCAGTGTTTGCAGCCCTGAAATAAATTTGTCGACCCTGTCCCAAGTATGGACGTCCTCATCCATCCCTTCCTCCCGCTCAGAACACCAACACAGCCAAATTGTCCGACCTTCCTCCAAGCGTTCGCCTTCCTCATCCGTTAGGCTGGAAAAAGGCGAGTTATCATAGATTCGCGATAGTTGCGAATTCCGATTCCACTGGAGCTGTAGGGTGGGCAGCTTTTACGCCGTTGCACGCATTTGTGGCAGGGGGTAAATATTGGCCACAGGGTTGAGGGGGAGGGGCGGGGATGGGGTTTACCACCTAATTCAATCAGAGTCAGATAGGCAGCAGCGGATTTCCCGCTATCCACCCTCGCCCCCTCTCTCCCCCTTGCCGCCAGCCTCGAGAACAACGGCGGCAGGTTCGCTCGCTGAAGCGCTCTCGCGCACACACAAATCAGAAAACAAAAAGTCTACCGCAGCCACGGCCCTTGCCGGCTTCCGGTAAATCTCGTGCGCTCCATCCCACAGGCCACCCCAAGTGAGGCGGATGGGGTGATAGGGCCTAACAGAACCCAACGCAGGAGGATTTGGTAGAGCGAGGCAAAAGTTAATTGAGAAGGTTTTTTCTCGGCGCAGGATCAAAACAGATCTACCGCATGGAGTCAAAGCGCCTGAGACAGCCGTAAAACATTTGCGTCACGGCAGTTCAAATGAGCGTGTGAGTTTAGCGGGAAGTTGGCAACACAAAGGGCTCGTCGAGAAGACAGATATATTTTTTTAAAGTGACTCAGCCTTAGGGGGTCTTATACCCCGAAAAGAGGGATGGGACATGCAAACGGTTACACTACCATCTACGCAGGTGTATCTTCGGAATGCAACAGCGATGAAGTCACTATTGGTCTCGAGGCTTCCGCCAGTGTATCCCAACGTCTACTATTGATTTCCCTCTAAAACACGGGCTTGAGTAAAGTTGGTTTTCAACTAACTTTCACTTCAAAAATTATACTGTTTGCCTTACGCTTTTAAATCGTTCCGGGCTGCCTGGTTAAACTTGGCGAGATCATTAGAAACCATTACGTTTTTTTCTTTTAACGGACTACTTTCTAAGCTGGCCAATACCAATGCTGTAATTTATATTGACACAACTGTGAAGAAATCGGCGCCTCGGTGGGATTCGAACCTACGCAGTAAGGGGAAGGCTTTAGTACAGCCAATGCTTTAACCACCTGCGCTACGAGGCCCCTCCGGACGACGCGAGATTAATCATGTTTGGGTCAAGTTACCCTGCTTGGGCAGTCAACTTACTGTATCAGATTTGGTGGATTCCAGACGTTGCAGTAGGTTGGGCGGGTAACTTGACCCAAATGTGATTAAACTCGCGTCGTCCGGCGGGGCCTCCTAACTCAAGTGGTTAGAGAGTTGGCTGTACTAAAGCCTTCCCCTTACTGCGTGGGTTCGAATCCCAACGAGACGCCGATTTTTTCACAGTTGGGTCAAGAGGAATTATTCAAAATCTGCCAAAATATCTATGGAATACTGTAATTCTCAGTAAGAATTGTTTTTATTATAAATTGCTCAACTTCTGTTTATAAGCATTTCCGAACTGTTACCAGGGTCTCGCATGTCACTTTTTTCCGAACACAGAACACAAAAACTAAAGGGTGTAGGGCTACGTCATTCCCAAAAAAACTTGTGAGCGTTCAACAAAACGACTTCTTGATATCTGGGAAACTGTCCTGTTATCCTCCCCTTCGGAAACCTGATGACTCATCTTGAAGAATAGCTGGGCACTAAATGGTTTAACTTACCCGTTCAGCAAACATCAATTCTCAGTTTCATGATAATAAGTTTTCGTACAAGATGGACAGTCACCTCTCCACATCTGCACAAGAAGAATGCCATGCCCTCCGCATGTAGATCAAAATATTACGACTTTTTACTCTCACAGCCAACCTTAACGTATGCGGCGCTCACGTGGCCTGTCCAACTGCTCTAGCTGTACTGTCTCCGTAACTGGCTAGCAAATTGCCGTTGGTGATGCGTCTACTGATTTGGTATGGTCTGCGACGCTTGGATTTATTCTTTGTGCTCCCAGAACTGGCAGTGCTTTGGCTGACGGACGCCCATGGAATCATGTCCATAAGACTGTTTAAACAATAGATCGCCTAAACTGAGGTGAAGACGGCGTAGCTTGTTCAAAATATTCCATCCTATATTGGTGAGAAAGCATACCTAGATGCAACCTAAATATCTGCTATTTTTGGGAATTCATGACTGAACTTAGGAAGCCTCGATTGGGTATTTTCTAGTCAAACAATCCAATCGATCCTATCCTTTGAGAGCGCCTTTTGCTGGATGTATTAGCTTGGAAATGCGCTATTTAACTTCAAACCGTTGTCCTAAATGAGCGGAACTCATCTTTACTCGGAAAGTTAACGCTTTAATGACCATCTATCGGCCGACCTTATCTCACCAAACCTATTAACGTAATTTTAAGAAAAATCTCAATCCCTTCCTGGAAGTCGTTTCCATGCTGTGTCACGGATACCATCGATACTTAACTGGGTAGAAGGTCGTTGGAGTCGTTTAGGAGGAGGAGGAGGAGGAGGAGGAGGAGGAGAAGGAGAAGGAAGGAGAAGATACCTCTAAATCCCTTGCGCGAGACTACATTTGAGCTCAATGCTACTCTTGTTATCGTAAGAGTCTGTGTCTTCCTTTGTCAGGGTTTGGAATGACTTCATTCGTTGACCGGGCATCGTATTACTGGCACTACAAGGACGTCAAAGATCACAAAAAGGGAGCATTATGCGAAAAATATTTGCGCCGAATCTCCATCCCCTTTACTTGTGTAATAATTTCAAGGTAGGACGTTGTTTTGAAAATTGCCTCTTTTGAGTTTGGAGATTCAACGAATAAGATTCCTTTCTGCGCCCTCAAATTCTTTTCGGATGCACTCTGAAATGCAACAACTGGTGGACTTCTTGACAGTTCGTCAACAGGAATCTATGGATGGACTTCATACATGGATGATTGGTATGGTATTGACCATCTGGTGGGTGACCTACACTGAATTTTTAAGGACCTCCGTGGGGAGAGGATTTTCAGTTTATTCTGGTCAAAAATGCGGAATAAAAATGAACCGCTCTGGTTGCGAAACATTACCGTTATTTTTCGATGTTATAACCTCGTGAACAAGTATGCCTTCTTTACCTGTTATTTCCTATCACAAACAGGATGTAAGTTAAACAAAAATAGACATATTGCAGAAAAAATCCGATACTGCGTTGCTATTTATCAAACAAACAGGAACTTTAAGACTTACGCATGAGAGTAATGCCGGTTTGTTTCAGGAATTTCTCCCGTTTTCCTGGAAATAAATAAAGCGATCAACTCTAAGTGGGAGTTTTGGTCCAGTTACTGTCACTGAAATATGGTAACGATAAAGAATGTCGAGGGGGATCTTTATTGATGGGCCTGGGAAGGACAACCGGACTGGCCATGTACAGCACAGAGTCGACGTCTGGGTATTTATTGCCCGCTAGGAGTCTTCCCAAAGACTTAGTTTTCGACGTTCCTATTGCCACACACCCCCACGCGTACGGCCAGCTGAACTACCTCCAGCCTAGACAAGGACCTCGTGTATGGTAGACAGACGGAGGTCTGTCCGCGGCAAGGAATGATAGGTGTGCCCGCGCGAAGCCTGATGTATGCAAAATTGCTGTGGATTATGCCCCTGGACAGCGCCAGGAGGTTGAGAAACGAGACTCCATAGTCCATTGCTGACTTCGACACTGGAGCGCGGTGTCGGCCCTGTGGTTTTGAATTATCCTGTCCCCAGCGAGGCCTACCCTTACCGCACATCAGCTATTATTACAAAGTTGTCTCTGCTGAGAAGTTTTAAGACCAGGATTTCGCTCCTCTATCCGGACGGTCAAGTGACACATAAACGGTGCTTTGGTGTTTAATACTAATAATGACGATGTTCATGGGGATAGGAATAAGAGTGAAAGTGGGTTCGCGGCCGTGAACGAGTGGATATTAAGCTTGGACAGTGAGGTTAGTCGCCGTCCATGACCTCAGTGTGTCCCGTCGTGGAATAGGGGCAACCAATGACCCCCATGTCTCACTTGCTGCGAACATTCCTAATCTCCGCCGACAGCGTGCTGGTCTACAGCCTACCGGAGCCGTTTCGTCAACCCAGGAGTTAACCGCCCCTGCACGCCTGAACGGACAATCCAGAGAATCAGCTAGAGACGGGATTTTTGCTTATGAAATTCGAGCTCTTTTTTGACCGGTGACAACTTTATGGCGGGGATTTCAGGAACGTCGAATGATATAAGGTGCCAGACTGGTGCCTTCATCTAACCTATCTTCACTCCGTTTTATCTCCTTCCTATACCAACCGAGCTACTTTCAGTTTAAATGCACTTTAAGTGCAGGAAATAGTGCCTTCACTTTTCTAAATTGCTTACTGCTTACTGCCAGTCGCACTCAGGTGCAAGGTGGCGTACACCCCTTATTGCGCCCGTGTGGACGTCAAGCGGGGCAGCTGAGCAGCTCGACATGAAGAGCATTTCATTGGGGGAGCGGCGGGGGGGGGGGTGCACGGTGTATGAAAAAACGCACGGGTGTAAGAAAACTCATTTTCGTTGCAGCCCTAAGTGAGAATTTGCAGAACCCAGTGTAGTTAAAAAGTCATTTTGTTCGCTCAATAGCTTGACACCGGCCCTATCTGATTGGTTTTTGATAATGGCACTAAGAGCTGTGTCATTGTCTCTGGGTCCAAGCGAGAATTCTAAACGTCAGGCGAATAAAGCCCTTGTCCCAGCGATCGCTTTTACTCCTTATAAACTTTTCAATTCATTCTAAGGTTGTCAGTTAGAAACACACTGCAGGATGGTACATAGTATACCTTTACCATGTGCCTAAAATCTTCGACACTTAAAGTTTCAGTGGCAGTTTAAAGATGGCCAGAATGCCTAGAAAGGGATATCCATCATCCCCTTTGTTTTTGTTGAGCGCATAAAAGAAAGCACGATACAAGTTACAGCTGCTCAGTTAAGGAAACTGATTTTGCCGAAAACACACATTCACACTGTCGGGGATCAGACTCCCCAGTTGGGAAAATAGTCTCAATTCTACTGCTGGCTGACGAAATGACTGCACTGCCTACCTGTAGCTACTTGGACCGCGCAAGTTCATTTACCTCTCAAAGAATACATTTCCTTTACTAGCTGACCTGCAGTCATTGGAAATGGCAAAGTACGCGAAATTCGCACTGTAGGACACTTACCTTCGACCTCATACAGTTGACGGAGGTACACATATTCGGGGTAGGCCTTGCCAAACAATGTGTTTAGTATTTCGGGTGGCATATCGATTGGCCATTTCTCAGCCTTCTTTGAGACTGACACCACCTTACTGCCCATCTTCTTCTCAGGTGCTTTACGAGTGACCTTGGGCTACAAATTTTGCATGCTTAAAATGAGAAATTAGTAGTCTACCGGAAAGGCGTGTAGGTAGTAGGCAGTTAGATCCACATCGGGGCCCAATTCTAGGTTGCAGTCCACTGGAGGAGAAAACGATGCTGATTAGAACAAACTGAGGAAAACTTACTTCCGCAATTGTTCTCGATAGCTTGCTCGCATTTATACACGCCAATCTGGAAGGCAGTTATGGAGGGTCGCATTCGTTTTCCCCGTTCAAAGAGGGTCAAGGCCTCTTCAAACTCACCTTTGCGGTAGTAGGCTTCAGCCATCAAAAGCACTGCCTTGGGGAGAGAGCATAGGGAGGGAAGTGTAGAAAGAACCTACATGAGGATTCTTCTTTTTTCGTTCGTGGGCCTTTCGGCCCTCTTCTAAGGCCTGTTCCAGTTTGGTCAAATAAAGGTAGCATGTCCCTCTCAGTAGCATGCAGGTGACATTCGTTTCTTCGAGTTTCTGAGCCTGTAGGGAGAAGTATAGGTCAGTAAAACCGTAATATTTCTTAACATGAGCAGGACTAAGCTCATTTACTGCAGTCCGGTAAGCAGCGAAACGAACCCGGGACTTGGTTATTTTTCAAAAAATCCATTCATGAAAGCAGATCGTTGGTTGGTGAACTCGCGTGTGGGCGCCTGCCACTGATTGGCTAGCTAGTGTGTCCCCGGCTGTCTGGTGTTGGTGGTCGTTCCAAGCTGACGGGGTATCGCTTGATGTGGGAGGTAACTGAAATAGTAACTAGTGTGCCGCGATAAAAAAATATTCTCTCGTCGGGTGAGCCGCGACAGATATTTGCCCTGTTGAGAGTACTGTGGGTTATAAAAGTTTGCCAGTCATTAGCTTACAGCAGGGGGAGGAAGAGGGAACAGTATTCCCATGCCAGTAATCCACTTGACTGTCCTATCGACTTTATTTTGGCTTAGAGTCAAATTATCCAAGGAAAGAGACTTCCAAGATTATGTCAATTCTAGCAATCATAATCCAAATATTTAGAGAAAGCATGTGATTTATCGGACTGATTGCAACTTCCACCTCGGACCGCATCATTGCGTTGAAGAGAGGGCTACGTTCCGGCAGTCCATTTTTGGATGTACAGAAATTACTTTCCCCAAGGTCAAATCTGGAGGATCTTTTAATTGACAGTACCAGTTAGATGACTTCGGCAAGAGCGTTCTAAGTTGGTTTAAAAACGATTTGGCAGAAGATATTCTTTTTAAAGCAGAAAGACATCTATGGCCAACACAGCTAGCAGTGGCGAGGGTCGGGCAGACCCGACCTGAAATTCTCACTCTGTCCTCAGAGTGACTTGACAGATGGCTTTTATTCCTGCAAGTTTGAAATGTACCTGTTAAAAATTAGAAAGTGTTAGCTGCCATCTTAGGCAGCTGAGTCAAAGCGGACTTTTAAATCAGACAACGATATTAGCCCCTTCAGTGAATTTTAGTCATGTCCTGACGCGATGGAACATCGCGTATTTTAAACCCAACGACCTACTGGAGACGGGTTCACATTTCAGGTTTTCTAATGCATGGAATGTGCTTGTACTTAGCTAACGGCTACAAACAAGCGAGAACTGACCGTCTTATTTACCCCTCCACTTGACAGTAATGTTCGTGGAGTAGTTAACCCAGGAATAAAGACTCAGTAGGAGGCCAAGTCATCTGGTATAACCTGAAAACGATGCCCCAAAGTTGAAAATGTAGCCATACAACATGCTTCAGTGGACAGAAGACCACAGATTTTGTCGCTTCATTGGCCATTTCTCCGTCCCGCATCCTTCTCACGATGAAAAGTTGAAAAAAGACGCGGGGAATGGAGGCGAAACGTTGTGCCGACAAACTCACCCATGAAAAATCATTTTTTTCTCAGTCATTTCAAAGATAACAGGACACAAAGACTTCTATGTTGTAGCAGTTAAATTAAATGCAGAATGTTACATACTGCAGACACTGATTTGGATGTCGGTATTTCTGAGAACTGTCTTTGGGAGTATCGCTTATCTATATGCTATGCGTACTTTCGGTAAAACAATCGCCAGAGGCGATTTAAAAGCTAGAGAGAGGGGAATTTACTTTTCGATAGCCTGCGGATGAACAAAACGTCGAGGGTAGGCACTATTACTAGCCTGAGGCTTCACGGACAAACCTAATCTACTTTCTGTCTAGATTCCAACGTCCTTCTAACAAAGCAATACCACGCCCTCCTCTGGCAAAACACACCAGAGTTAGTTTTATGATTTCTAGACTAAAAGTTGTTAAGCAGGCAGACAACATCTTTTTGCCTTGGCCCTTGAGGGTGTTTCAGAAAAATTAAAGTCAGATGACTACGTCTTTTGAAGGACTGTATACCGAACCGTTGGGATGCATCTTCTAACATTACATTCATCTCAACAATTTCACCTTTTGTATCTAATCAACAGGACAGAATTTTTGTGTATTACGCGAACACAAAAGCATGCGAGTCTAAATGTTTGCTTTAACATTTGAACGTCTGTTAACTGCCTTTAAACTTCTCCACAAACATCCCGGAGAAACTGTGACACCTGTCTAATGTTTATATGGTATGAAATTAAGTACTTTGTGGTCTTTACGCTACATTTATGCGTGCATTCAGAACGGGTTACTTAGATGCATTTTTTGTTGCCCTGAGTTTTCCTGCCCGAATAACGTCAAAATATGGTCCAGTATTGCATCAAAATAGAAACAATGTTTTAGATCGTCAGGAAAAAATAACTGATCGAATGTCCTCTATACTGTTGGCGGATAAATTAGAATTCGTCGACAGACTGCTTAGTGCATTCTTTCGCCTTCAGTTTATAGTTTCACAGGCGTCAGGAATTTATTTTGCTTTTCCAGTAAAAGGTGGACGCTGGCGTTTTATTCAGGCACAGGATGAAGGTTTTTGCCTTCTTGCGATAGGGTGGCATCTAAACTGCCTGTGTAGAACGCCGTTAAATATTCGGCAAGAAAACATCAGACTGCTTGTCCTAAAGAAACCCGTAGATGTGCTCGCTAGATAGTTTACCATACTGACAGCACCGAAACTAACTAAAAGTTTACGACACTCGTGTCTCGCCGACCTTATGACGCTGTATGAAGCAGCTGTGTGGGGGTTCGGCTCCCCAATGGGTCCTCCAGCTTTTCTCATGTGTTTTCTGGTATGTAAACTACAGTTTCCATTAGCCTTTCGAGTCTGGCATAAAAAGCTTTGTTCTGTAGAACTAACTCCACGTTCACGCATTAATTTCCTTGGAAACCAAACAAGAGAATGTATTCACTTCAGATCATTTAGATTTTCTTTGAAACCTCTTTCTGGAGCGGGAATTTTCACTCATCAGGGAGCATAAGTTCTGGTAATTCCTGACCTATCGGCTGCCTTGCGGTACCATCTGGTACCCAAGAAAAAGTTACTTTTCTCATACACCGTTTGGAGTCGTAAACGGCTTTAGTAAACAGTTTGCCAGCTATGCTGATTTTTCATGAGCGAGAGCTCCTGTCTATAAATGTCTGACCATGTCTGACTCTCGACTGTAAAGATACAGACGGCCAGTTGTACTAAGTAAGAAATGATGCCGACTCTTAGTTCTTCAAAAAAGTTTTTTGGGTTAAATTTTGTTGCGCCTTCGAAAAATTGAGAAAACTTAGGCAAGCCTGTGCTGTAATTGAACGAAAAACAAGACGGCAATGTTAATTTGAATGAAAGACCTTATAAGCACTGGCTTCTCACAAATATCGATCAATTTTGTAGAAATATTTCAATGAGCTTGTTTATGTATGTTCCAAGTGGAAGGAAATTACGCGTAGTTTTGCGGCAGAACCTTGTATATGAGCACACTTAAAAAATTGGCCGCCTACTTTAAAGTGCAGGGAAAAAATATGCGCTTACGCGTGACGATACCGACAGCCGAAAAGTGGTATCTTCGAAGGAAACTGGATGCTCTGCCTTTCTTCAATCTGGCAAGTCTGTCTCGGTCTTGTGGTGGTAGAAACAGTTTAGAAAATGGCTCTGAAACAGCTCCATCATATCCATATTCTATAAAGCAACGACTGACATTGATTTTTTTCACAATTCTTCCTGTCCTCACTCAAGGTGCCACTTGCGAAAAATTCTCGATTTGATCTCCGAGTGAATATGGGCCAGAAAGCCCCGTAAAACGCCCTCATCAAATGTACATTCATGTACAGCTTCAGTGCGGTAAAAATATTTAACCATTTATCGTGCATTTAGTCCTCCACTGAGGGTCGAGGACCAAAAGGTGGCACGAAGTGTTCCTGATGCAACGGCCCTTTTGAGACAATTTTTGGATTTCCAATGTTCTCTGCCTGCCAGAGTCACAGATTTATGAGGTTATTCGGCCAGCCCTCAAGCGAGTCTATCGTTTACCCAAGGAGAATTTTCCATGGGAGAGGGCAGAATTGATTGTTGGGACAAGCGTTTTTTCGTCTGAAATTTCGAGTTAAAACTCGAACGCAACATCGCCTGCCGAGTCGGAGCGAGAGCGAGGACCCATCGGAGTGGTTGTTCGGCCGCGTGCCTAAGGATTGGCAAGCCACGCCCCAGTCACCCTGAGTGGTCATAACGGCTGCTGTAAATTGAAAAGATACTTTCCTGGTTCGGCGCGCAAGTGTTTCTGTGTTTTTGAGTTAAAATTTTGCCATTCCTTGCGATTTTCCAGTCATTTATCGTTCCCTGTCTGCAGAAGTGAAGGAGTACGTACCTGTTCATTGACGTGTAGCGCCATCTGGCAGGCAGCCCGAGCAAAACTACCGGCGCATCTCCAGCCCCCTACCTGCCGCCTACCAGGCTGTGTGGGCTTTGAGCTATCACAGTCGAATATGGGCTCGAGCACGCAGAGGCCACCAACTCTGCTGCGTGATATCGCGTGTCAGCGAACTTGGGCATAAATGAGAATTTATATGCACCCGGCAATTGGACGCTGGCGCATGGGCGGAAGAGGGCTTTCAATTAACAAGGGGTGCCTCAATCACTTAGGCGGCTACTATTCAGGCGTGAAACCTCCCAACCTCCAGAGACGTAGGCCTCTTGACAGCAACTTCCGTAACGAACTAAAAGACGAAGTCTGAGGGACTGTACTTCTGCTTTTTACGTGGCAAGTAGAATGGAAATGTGTTGTCGGAAGAGCGTTCATCGATCCGTTTTGCCCTAGGGTACAGTGTAAAGTCCTCGCAGGCAGTCAAACACCGACTAGAAGTACAGTAAGTGGGTTAACCCATGAAATGTCAGCCGAAATTCCGAAATGCGTTTTCGACTCGAAAAGATTAATTAAGTAGGGTTATAAAACTAGTCAGCCTGCAACGTAATTCCATAATATTTAAGTTACGTCAGGATGCCGGCTTTCGAATGAACCTCCTTACGGCTGCATGCAAGAACCATACTCTGTAAAAACGACTACTT